TCATTCGAGTGCAATAAATGTGGGGTAATATTGTGGCAATATGTCATTGAATCTGTCAAAATAAATGCTGAAAGGTAATTGACCGTCCTGCTGTTCTATAGCAGATAAATATGGGTGATTACTACGCACTGAGCGTTTAATGCAATAGCACTTGCATGTGTCGTATTCCACTCACAGGTGATACGACCTGCTGTAATGTGGCTCACAGCGTTACGCTGTTAACGCCGTTGAACTGAGAGGATTTCACAGCTGGGATTACAAACAGAGACAAAAAAAAAAAGCAGAGTAACAAGAAACTCGTCAAAAACATTAAACCCGATTGTGGATCCAATTATTACGAATCTTTAGAATTTGAATGAACGAAGAAATAACCAGATTCTAATGGTTTGGGATTCAAGAAGTACTTAAAGAAACAATGGCTGGATTGGAAATTGTGAGGGATTTTTATTAACGGTAACTGGGTATCATTTTATACAATTACAGACAGATATTTTACCAAGAATTAAGTAAACCATACACGTACACAGGCAAAATCTCAGCAGGTACTTGTCACAAGTGTTTCAACAAATCGCCAGACACGTTATTGTTTGTTTCCTACCACATGTGGAAGTATTTTAGCTTGCGATGGCAGTCAGTAAAGAATGGAATCTAGACCAGACAATCCAGTGACCTACATTCCAAGCTATTATCCACAGCACTAGAGTATAATGTCAAACAACCACCCAAGCCACCTAACTTGACCATCGAATCCAACCGATGGGCAGCTTATGTGTGGAAATATCCAGTATCCCTACGGACAGTATCCCATCTCTAGACTAATATATATAATTTGAAAGTAACAAATCAATCCATTTTAATTGAAAAAGAGTGAGTGAGTGAGTTTGATTTTACGCCGCTTTTAGCAATATTACAGTAATATCATGGCGGGGGACACCAGAAATGAACTTCACACATTATTGTGCCCATGTGGAGAATCAAACCCGGTTCTTCAGCATGACGAGTGAACGCCTTAACCAAGAGGCTACCCCACCGCCCACTTCATTTAGGGCTTTAGCACTGCAGGGACGGCTAGGTTGTAGGGAAAATAATGTGGTTCAGGGACTGTTAGACAGACTAAGCCATCTCCTGTACATAAACTCTGCAACTGACAAACTAGTGATCAATAGCATGAACATAAAATCCATGCCAGGTGATTTTAGTGATCAAGTGACCAAACTAAAAACCTTAAATCAGGGCTCAATATGAAACCCACCTGCACCCGGTGCAACCTTAGCTAATGACCATTTTGCACCAGACAAACAAACACAGGTTGAACCTGCTGCGCCATACTGACTGACTGAGTTTAGTTTTACGCCGCTTTTAGCAATATTCCAGCAATATCACGGCGGGGGACACCAGAAATGGGCTTCACACATTGTACCCATGTGGGGATTCGAACCCGGGTCTTCGGCGTGACGAGTCAACGCTTTAACCACTAGGCTACCCCACCGCCCCTGCTGCGCCATACAAAAATATATATAATTTTGGGTTTGGGTCTTAATGATTTATCCCATCATCATAACATAATTACTTCTTTGAGTGGCATTTTAGAAGCTGGGAAGTACAAAATTGACAAACTTTATGGATAACAACTTCTTTATTACGAGAGTGCGACGTTTCGATACAGATTCTTGTACCGTTGTAAAGCAGGAATAAAATTCCTGCTTGACAACGGTACAAGAATCTGTATCGAAACATCGTACATTCCTGCTTGACAACGGTACAAGAATCTGTATCGAAACATCGTACATTCCTGCTTGACAACGGTACAAGAATCTGTATCGAAACATCGTACATTCCTGCTTGACAACGGTACAAGAATCTGTATCAAAACATCGTACATTCCTGCTTGACAACGGTACAAGAATCTGTACATTCCTGCTTGACAACGGTACAAGAATCTGTATCGAAACGTTGCACTCCCGTAATAAAGAAGTTGTTATCTATAAAGTTTGTCAATTTTGTATACTATGGATAGTCAAATTCTTGATAGCAATGAGTGCACTCTCGTAATAAAGAAGTTGAGTATCCACAGAACTTGGTTTTCATAACGTAATTATGCTGCGACTCAGAAGCTTAATCAATTTTATAAAATTTCATGACATGAACAACATCAGTTATTCAATCACTCTCATCAGAGGCACTCCTCCAAGCCAGTTCCTCTTCATTTTGTTTTCTTTGAACAGCAAAATATTAAATGCTATGGGTGCAAGTTGATAAACATGAGGATGCATTTCACAGTTTCAGGTTGCACAAATGAATATTCTAAATCCTTAAATCAAAACCCTGTTACATGTATGAAAATATCAAGTAAAATCAATAATAAAAGCCAGGAAATTAAACATGTGAAAAAGTCACATTAAACCATCGTGATACTCGTGACATTTCATAAAAAGCGATTCATTAAGTTAGATCAGGAACAAACATGAACTGATGTAATATTAAACTGCTCAGAGCTCATTTCACAACCAAGAAATCAATGCTTTCATTCTGATTCTGACCCATCTGGCCAAAATAACAATATCCTTCAAAGTCACATCTTAATATGATCAGTATCACAATAAACCAGACACCTTCATCCACAACAGAACAGCAGATTCAACATTCAATGCCCTCTCCAAGCAGCAGGTAAACCTTCAACGTATGGCGGTCACACGTTCCTGTCTGCTAGCATGCTAGGGGGATTGACAAGTCTAGTGATGTCATTAACCAACTAGACGCACATCCATTTCCTGGGAGTTTTGACCACTGCTCATGATAAGGTTACTGCAAGCAGACCAATCTTGGTCAAGATCCACTGACCAAACAAGTAATGTCCCCTGCCAATAAAAGGGAATGAGGCCCAATCAAATGAACCATTCTCCGATGGCCTCTAAATCAATTGGTTTGAGCCTGTGGGATGTCATCAGGTCCACCGTGAGCCCACGAGGCAATCACCATACACCATTTCACATTCAAAGTCATCTCGCTATCCGTGGTGCACAAAATGTACAAAACATCACTGATTCATCACACTTTGAGCTGTGGCAAACAATGAGGCTCTCAAAATGATCATAATCTGTCATATGTGTTTATTTCTTTGTGAAAGGCGCATGCTCCATATAATGGCCTTGCTTTCGCGTGTGAGTAAATGAGTGAGTGAGTGAGTGGGTGGGTGATTGAAAGGTGTTTTAGATGGCAGCTGGCTATATTTGGTTGTGGGAAGTGTTGAGGTGAACTTGACCTAAGAAACCGTTAAGGAATCTTCATCACTAAAGTGTTCACCTTCTCATACTTGCACACAAAAATAAGTATTTCTTGGGCTCATATTTTGGAAAAGTAAGGACTTTTTAAAGAAATATTTTGTATACCAGAGTAAGGAACCAGAAAAAAAGTGTTGATCTTTTTTATCCAAACAAATGCAGCTGGCCCACATTGAACTCTGCTCTTCAACACACTGTCAGCTGTCAAGCCTGTCATTCCATGGATAACAGAGTACACTTCGTATGAATTAGGCAATTTAAGACATATTTCTTTTATTTAAGAAAACATAACAAACAGATTTAAAGAAATGCACCAAAACCCAAGTGAGTGAGTGAGTGTGAGTGAGGTTTATCAGCTATACTTATTCTCGGCTTTAGAGAGACAGACATAAAAGGCAGACATCATTGTCCCAAGTAACATACACAAACAAGACATTGAGGGAGGCGGTGTCAGTGAGTCAGTAGCATCATATCACAATACAACAGGTTGTAAATACTGGACCTTGGACCTGACAAACCGTTACTGATGCTTTGAATTAATGGACACTATGTCCAGACAATGTAACATTATTGTGTCATATTTGGTATGATTAGTTTGGCATTTTTGGTGCCAAAGTTAATCTCAATGATGATGTCAGTCTCATTGCTCATCCCAAAAATTGAAAAGATGGATGAATTTGTTTTTCAAAAAAGCAAGGAGCAAACATCACCAAGTCAGAGAAGATGAACAAATGATGGGCTGGCACATATAATGTCTGACTAAATGGAGGGTGAGGAGCAGAGGGGTTTTGCACAACCCCAGGACATCTGGACCTGCTGGTGACTGGAAGGAACATCTGACTTGTCATATAAAGCTGTTGTTGAACTAACATCTCATCTGGTTGGAGCTCATCTGGTCCCCTACTGAAGAAGTGTTTGAGATGGGAGGTAAGATAACATGAGCTCTGACTGGCCAGGGTGTCACTGATGGACGGCACCCTGGTCTTGCTGGTCTTGCTGGTCTTGGCTGGTACAAAACTTACCTTTATCTTGCCGGATCCCGTAGATCAGAAGACCTTGCAATCTGGATGATGAGGTCAAGGTCATATATTTGGGTGCTGCTGTGAGTGTGATTGTATGAGTATTATGGGTGTGGATGTGGGTGTGGGTGTGGGTGTGGGTGTGGATGTGGATGTGGATGTGGGTGTGGGTGTGGGTGTGGGTGTGGGTGTGGGTGTGGGTGTGTGGTGGTGTGTGAGTGAGTGAGTGCTTTGAGTGAGTGAGTGTGTGAATGTGTGATTATCATCTTTTAGCTTGGAATATTCCATCAATATCATGGCTGGCGACACCAGAAATGGGCTTCACACATTGTACCCATGTAGGGAATCGAACCCGGGTCTTCAGCGTGACGAGTGGACACTTTAACCACTTGGCTACCCCATGGCCCCCTGTGGGTGTGTACACGCTGACATCCAGGCATCCAGGCATGGAGCTTGTGACAGTGATGTAGGCACCATCATTGTGCCACATTGTGCTAGTTTGGCATCCTTGGTGCTATAACCAATGCAACATGAAGGCATTCTCCTGAATGGTAGCCAGTGACTACATTCATATTATTCCCAAGGAATTAGTGTACACAGCATTGACAATGCACCGTAACAATGACTGTGTCATTTGCTGCTGGTAGTGGGCTTCAGGAAATAACGCCGACAACATCTACAAGTAGGATCAGGAACATACCTGTCAGATTCAATGCTTGTGATCTAGGTACACCAACAGGACACAGATAGTGGGAGATTCACTTCACATGACATCCATTGGCACACAGGAGGGCTCATTGATTCAGATTCGCTGAAATGACAACAACATCCAATAACACACCTAGGACAGCCATTTTGATTATTCCAGCTGGTGTCACATTGCTTTCATTGACCAGATGCCAAATCACATAAAATTTCAAGTGAGTGAGTATGGTTCTATGCCGCTTTTAGCAATATTCCAGCAATATCATGGCAGGGTACAACAGAAATGGGCTTCACACATTGTGCCCATGTGGGGGATTGAACCCGGGTCTTCAGCGTGACGAGCCAACGCTTTAGGCTACCCCACTGCCCCTAAAATTTCAAGAGAGTCAAATCTGGACATATACAAAATTCAGTGGCATTCACAGCTACCTGTATCTCTTGTAGTATTTTGGGCAGTGGGGTGGTTTAGTGGTTGAAGCGTTCACTGGTCACACCAAAGACCCAGGTTCGATTCCCCACAGGGGTACAATGTGTGAAATATTGATAAAAGCAGCATAAAACCATACTCACTCACTCACTCTTATAGTACTCATCAAATTGGTCCCAAGAAGATACAAGTAAGAACTACACTTTTATAACCCATGCCTGTTAACAGTCTTGAAAGGTCAGGCTCGCTGACTTGGTTGATGTAAGTCATTGTAACCCAGTTGTGTAGATCAATGTGTTTAATGGATCAAAACATGAGTTTGTCAGAGAAGACAACTTGCTTTTCAAAAACATGATCATGTGCAACAATTTTATGCATGTCTATGCTGCTTTCTTACCTGGCAGTTCTTACATCAATGGTAAGTGTAACTGCCATATTGTAATATACAATATATCAGAGTGCCATCCTGAATCATGAACTGCTAATATTGCACCAAGTTCATTTTTGCAAATTCCTGCAAAATATCCAAACACTCAGTAAAGCAAGTCTAGATTTCAATTATTTTTGATAAAACACTGTACATCCAGCACATCTCATTATCTCCCTGGCAATAACAACGTCACAGATAACAACAGCATGTCACAATGATCTGGAAAAGAAGACTCTAATCACAGCCAGGAAACCTCGGCCATTGTGAGCCCTCACTCCAAATATACAAGCCCTGAAGCGGATGTTACCATCTCTGGCACCACAATGAGCCTCCAGACAGGAAATATTGTGACATCTTTCCCTCTTCATATCCCTTCCATACCCCCTTTATCTACCACATACACCAACAACACCATATGGCAGGCCTAAGCGCCTCCTATAGTCTTCCAGTAATTATACGCCAAACATCAGACGAATATCTTCCGAATATTAAATCCCCTCTGGGCGGGGTGTGCTGAAAATATTATAAGTACGCACCTCGTCTTTAATTTAAAAATATTGGCATGACACCAAAGTAATATCACTTTCTGAAATCTGTTTGAACATGCAAGTTTTTGAGACGATGCCATCTGTGGTTGTCTCCTAATTGCTTATATTCTGCTTTAGGATATGTAATTGTAACATCATGTAGAAACGGACAGATATGAAGGAAGCTTCACTAATGCTTTCAGAGTCTCGACCTCGTATTTTTTCAGCATTTTTCTCCAGCAGCAAAATATTTAGACATACAACTCAAAAAAGTTCAAGAACAGCCATTTTTTTTACATAAATCTGTCATTTTGAAAAAGTAATCTGCAGTGGTCAATTTTTGTTAGTTGTATGTATGTGTTACTTACATCTTGATGCAGATAATCCTATTAATCGATTGTATCTGATAGCATATGACCGTCCTATAAACAGCAATCAAGAACCATCTTCACATTTTGTTCATTTGTTTTTTGTTTAATGCAAGTACTCCTGCTAGGCAATGGCAGTATGTAAATTGGACAATCTAGTGATTGACATCATGAGTGAGTGAGTGAGTTTGGTTTTACGCCACTTTTAGCAATATTCCAGCAATATCACGGCGGGGGACACTAGAAATGGGCTTAACACATTGTACCCATGTGGGGAATCGAACCCGTTTCTTCGGCGTGACGAGCGAACGCCTTAACCACTAGGCTACCCCACCGCCCCTGAGCATCATGACATCAAGGTGACACCAAATCCAAGCATTCATCCCTTGTTTAAGACTAAACTATGTTGGGACTTCACCCTAATTCCCACAAGTCAATCCCATTTCAATTATCAAAATTATAGTCCAATAAGTTTAACAGAGTGAAAGAATTCCTATCAAATGTTGAGTAGCATAGACATGTCCTTAAAGACGTCACAATGCCTTGCAGCAACAATACTGTGAACACTATAGAGCTTTTGAAATGATGCTTTGAAAAGAAAAAGAATTTTCATTCCCTTATATGGTAAAAGCTTAATTCTTTCACAAAGATGAAGCAGATTAAATTTTAGTGCTATCACCTAATTGCCTTCACGAAGCGCCCAATAACTGACATGTATTTTTCCATGCCAACTGTCGTCATTATAACGTTCTTTGTTGGACATTGTGTGAATCTATTTCCATACGAAGTGGGAGCTGAATGCCAGAAGAGACACAGAGTCGGACGGAGCTTGTTGAGATGGATCGCATGCAAAGGTTCAATCGTCACTTAACTGGGCGAGTGCTGTATCACTTCTGCACAAACATGATCAAATATTAATGGACTTTAACAACCAGCTTACACACGCTTTCACAGAATCAACCACAAAACGTGGATAATTATGTGTACAGACAAGTCTACAGGGATTTGAAGGATATTTGATCGCATTGTCCTCTAACGATAATTGTACACCACACTCTGACCCAAGGGGAGACAATTATGGCTTGTCACAGCTCGTGGTGATAAAATGGATTGGTTTCCACACTCTTGTTACGCATAAACAAATAGAATGTCATCATTCCAAATGTCATATGCATTCCACTACAGCAGTTTCCTCTAATATGCCGACTGACTCCTTGCAGAAGAGGCTGGGAAAGATCTTACACAGCAGGACTTTCTGGAAAAGATCTTGCACAGCATGACTTTCTGGGAAAGATCTTGCACAGCATGACTTTCTGGGATATCTTGCACAGAAGGACTTTCTGGGAAAGATCTTACACAGCAGGACTTTCTGGGAAAGATCTTGCATAGCAGGGCTTTCTGGGAAAGATCTTGCACAGCAGGACTTTCTGGGAAAGATCTTGCACAGCAGATATATCTGGGAAAGATCTTGCACAGCAGGACTTTCTGGGAAAGATCTTGCACAGCAGATATATCTGGGAAAGATCTTGCACATCAGATATATCTGGGAAAGATCTTGCACAGCAGGACTTTCTGGGAAAGATCTTGCACAGCAGAACTTTCTGGGAAAGATCTTGCACAGCAGATATATCTGGGAAAGATCTTTCCCAGCAGGACTTTCTGGGATATCTTGCACAGGACTTTCTGGGAAAGATCTTGCACAGCAGATATATCTGGGAAAGATCTTGCACAGCAGGACTTTCTGGGATATCTTGCACAGGACTTTCTGGGAAAGATCTTTCTCAGCATGACTTTCTGGGATATCTTGCACAGGACTTTCTGGGATATCTTGCACAGGACTTTCTGGGAAAGATCTTGCACAGCAGGACTTTCTGGGATATCTTGCACAGGACTTTCTGGGAAAGATCTTGCACAGCAGGACTTTCTGGGATATCTTGCACAGGACTTTCTGGGAAAGATCTTGCACAGCAGGACTTTCTGGGATATCTTGCACAGGACTTTCTGGGAAAGATCTTGCACAGCAGGACTTTCTGGGATATCTTGCACAGGACTTTCTGGGAAAGATCTTGCACAGCAGGACAGACACAGTGAATGAAGATCCTGATGAACGGTCACAGAAAAATGAGTGACCTAGTTTGTAATAATTTACACCACATCGGCAATCTTCTTCCCAAATTTCAGTGTTCCCTATGGATATTCCGGTATTTATAACAATACCAATGTTTCTGTCAACTCTGGCCCAGGAACCCTGCAGCTACAGGTTTCAGATCATGTCAGCTTGTACAACAAGCATTTTGTGACAAGAACTTTATGTCCTGTCATGAATGTTTATTCACCTTTCATCGAACATATCAAAAACATGCTCAAACGCGGTGTTGTCATGATATGATTTGCTATGTTTGCATAATATCTTTTCTAAGTTTTTGTAAGATCATTGTGCAAACTTTTCATTCCACTAGTAACTGTCTCCAGTTGCAGTTCACAATTACAAAATACTCATGAAATACGACTGACTGACTGACTGACTGACTGAGAGTTTGGTTTTACGCCGCTTTTAGCAAAATTCCAGCAACATCACGGCAGGGGACACCAGAAATGGGCTTCACACATTGTGCCCATGTGGGAATTCGAACTCGGGTCTTCGGCGTGACGAGCCAACACTTTAACCACTAGGCTACCCCACCGCCCCATGAAATACGAAGAAATGTGTGAGTTCTTGAAGTGCATAGTTGCATATGTACGCTTTACAGAGAGGTAGTGGACACTTGGCTGGTCAACCCAAGAATGTGATGTTCACACAGAGGACAAGAAGAGATGAACACCACAAGAACATGACCTTTACATAGATGTGTCATATACTAGGATGATGCCACTACAGTATGTGACCTTCACACTGAGACTGTGCTATCTAGGGACTGTGGACACCACAGTGTGTGACCTTCACATTGAGTGAGTGTGTGAAGGAGTTCGGTTTCACGTCGCTTTTAGCAATATTCCAGAAATATCACGGCAGGGGACACCAGAAATGGGCTTCACACAATGTACCCACATGGGGAATCGAAACTGGGTTTTCAGCGTGACAAGCAAACACTTTAACCATTAGGCTACCCCACTGCCCTCGTCACACTGAGACTGTGCCGACTAGGGACTGTGGACACCACAATGTGTGACCTTCACACTGAGACTGTGCCGACTAGGGACTGTGAACACCACAGTGTGTGAATATCACACAGAGGTAGTGCACACTAATTTTGTGAACACCATATTATGAACCCTTCTTCAATATCAACTTTCCTACTGAAAAGGAGCCAAACTGTTGGGTCTTTTTTGTTTTTCAAAATTGTAAAAAATGAT